CAGACGTGTGCTCTTCCGATCTCCCCAAAACCCCAAAACCCCGTAATATGAATTGGACTCAAATTTGTTGAAATTTATTGATAATCGATAAGTTAACTTTTATTTCACACAGTTGAAGCATACCTCATATCTTCAGATCTATTATTAAGCACGTGCAATTAAATTACTGAAAACACCATCTTGTGAACTAATCTCACTTCTCATGATATCAAACACAGTCTAAACTAGCACTTTCTCCATTTAGACTCTCTATAATTCTGTGACATAGTCTGATTGCACTTAGGGGACCATCACTGCTAATTCTGCAAGATCTTTGTCGTCAAGATTAAGTCCGAACTACCTAAGCATCTCTAAGGCCTTATTCTTAACTTCTTAAATTGATTAGGCAAGGTCTTTAACTGCATCTGATCTATCTTTAATTTGCCTTACAAATTATTAAATCTTTTCCTTAGCAGCTTGAATTGGATTTCCAGCAATTTCAACTTAAGCCAAAGCATATCTATTAATTGAATTATCAAGTTTTCTCTTAGCATCTCTTGCTTGGGGGGTCAATTGAGCATTTTGGAGATTATGATAATTCACTTGAATATTAAACAGGGCTTCACCTAAATCCTCACTAATTGTTTCATCCTCAGTTTAAGCATGTGACTATTGATTATTAGGCTGAAGCTTATCAATTTGCTTCTTAAGCAAGTCTTTACCTATTTAGAGTACCCTTTGCTTAATATTTTCTGGAATTTTAAATTCATCCTAAGTCTTAATTTGAGCAAGTACATATCTAGCAACCTCAGGTTCTAACTATAGCTCTGATTAAAGTCTTGATTAAACTTATGTTTAAGCTCTGATTCTTTATTCTACTCCAAGGACTCCAACTGAGCAGATAGTTGCTACTGTGACTAAAAGGATAGCTTATCTCATTAACTTCGTTTGCAAAAATAAAATTTAATTTTGATAATTAACGGATCTCCCACAATTTATACTATTAGTTGATGGGGTTTTGGGGTTTTGGGGTTTTGGGGTTTTGGAAACGAAGTTAAT